GGTTGAGCTGTTGTTCAGCATCTTAGCTGTAGAGGGCAGTGTCACTGGCCCTCATATGTGGGATCCGAACCGGGGCCCTCTGACATCCCAAGCGAGTTCTTAACCATCGCGCCACTCGGCCGGCCCTCAACCCCCTCTTTTTATACCACCTCACTCAAAATGAAATTTTTACTCAATCGCTTCTTTCTTGCAGTGGGTTTTATAGATCTTCTCTAGAAGATAATACTGCATTCAGGAAATAGCACTGTACTTAAATGATTGTGTTTCTCCTTAGGAGTTATTATATCAATCAGATCTTTCAAGGCAATTAATATTTGCTGTATGCCCACTAATGTCCAGGAAGAGTTCTAGAAAACAGGACTACAAAGATAAACAAGATATGACCCCTTCCACAAGGCGATCACAGCTCAGTGACACACACAAATAGGATAATACCACTTGATAAGTGTTATTAACAGAAGTAATGTAAAAAGGACGTTTAAAACAAATGAAGAAATAAACATTGGATAAAGGGGTAGGATTTGAGGGGACACTATGAAAAAGAGGTTGAGTTTGAGATTTGAAGGAAGAGGTCATAGGTAGACATGGGTGGGAAGGGTCATTCTAGGAAAAGGAAACAGCATAAACAAATCCACAAAGATAAGAAAGTACATAATAAGTTGGTGAATGCTTGGTGTGGCTAGAGAAGACGGTTGCAGGGAGGGGAGAGGAAAGAGCTAAAGACAAGGAAGGGACATCTGTGAAGGGCCTTCCCTCTATGCCTTGCCAAAGAACCTAGGCTTTATTCTGTTGGGTGATAAGGAGACACTACAATTTTTTAAGGAGAGGAATAATCTGTGAAGCCCTGTTTTTAATAAGGTAATTCAAATAGTAGGAATGAAGAATGAGTTGGCATGGAAAGAATGTTCCCCTCTCCTTATTAATTCAATTGCTCAGCATGTTCAAGTTCATGGTTTTCTACTTAAGTGCCTTTTCCATATATAATGTAACAACTCTCTTTCCTTTCTATCAGCATGTCTTCTTTTAAAATTCAATTGCTATATTCCAGTAAAAACAAAACAAAATAAAACCCAGCCCAGTAATGCCAGAGAAACCAACTACACCACATACACTTTGTCCTGGTCCTAGCTACCATCAATTTATTGTGTGACTCTGGACAAGGATCTCAGTCTGCCAGGCTTTTAGCCATCAAATGAATTGGGTGAACTACCCTATCTAATGGATTCTAAGATGCACAGTTTCCCACATTTAACATTCTGAAATTGAGATATGTCTTACAATTCATGGGCCTACAGTTACTGTTGACGCAGCAACAGTGAAGGTGCACTTGTCGTTGCCTACATATGCATAAATATCAAAAGCACCAGCTTCAAAACTAGCAGAATAGGTGTCAGGAATTTGGAAAAGTTCCAGGGACTTTTAAAAGTAGTGGAAAAGGGGTGGAAGTGGCGACTCGGTGCCTATAGCAATACTCCCAAAGGAAAGTCCAGATCAGGCCAGTTCCATATAATTACAGAATGGGCTTAAGAGCCAACATCAATGACTTTTATTTACTTCCTTTTCTATTTTTGTTTTTTAATTGACGGCATAGAGGAGATACTCTGTGGAAAAAAACCAGACATTGATTACTATGAGTCAAAAAGTGATTCAAAAAGTTGGAATCTGAACATGAAGTTTTAAGAATGTTAGACAATTAATTTCACTTGCATTTTCCCTTTTTACGTTTGCACAGGGGTGATATATTATTTTAAAAATCTGTGTATACTCACAGCAGATTAATTTGTAATAGCCAGAAACTGTAAACAACCTGAATAATCATTAGTAGGTGGATGAATAAACAAACTGTGGTATATCCATATAATGGAGTCTACGCAGAAATAAAAAGGAATGAACTGCTGATACACAGCATGATGTGGATGAAACTCAAAATAATTCTACCGAATGAAAGAAGCCAGACCAAAAAGAATGTACATGGTATAATTCCATTTATCTAAAATTCTAGAAAATGTAAACTGATTTATATGATAGAAAGCAAATCAGTAGTTGCTTAGAGATGGAAGAGTGATAGGGAGAGTCAGAGGAAGGGATCACCAAGGGGCATGAGGAAAGTTGGGGGCTATGCATATGTTCACTATCTTGACTGTACTGATGGTTTCACAGGTGCATCCATATGTCAAAACTTATCAAACTGTACTCTTTAAATATGCACCATTTGGGCCGGCCAAGTGGCGCAATGGGTAAGAGCTGGCCCAATCAATCACAAGGGCTACTAAAATTGGAAAGAGGTAAGCAGAAGAGTCAGAGAACAAGATGTGACCACAGGCGGAGAGGGTCAGGGTGATGCAATTGCTGGCTTGGAAGATAGGGGACGGGGCCGAGAGCCACGGAATGTGTGCAGGCTCTAGAAGCAGGAAATGGCAAGTAAGTGGATTCTCCCCTAGGGATTTTAGAAAGGAATGCATTGATTTTAGCCTAATGAACCCTGTTTCAGACTTCTAACCTCCAGAACGTAAGATAATACATTTGTGTTGTTTTAAGCCACCAGATTTGTGAGAGCAGCAATAGAAAACTAATACATTCTGCTATCCATACACTTCCATTTTCCAAGATAATTGTTCAGGATAGCTTATTTGCCCCTCCACATGCACTCCCCACCTTGCTCTGTGGCCCAGGAAGATGATGTATTTACACTGCATCAGTGGGTTCCCTTGCTTTCTGGCTTCTGTTTGACCACCAGGATGCACTAGCAGGAAACGAGGGCAGGGAGAGAGGAGAGGGGGTTGTTGCAGAAGGCCCTGACTCCCATCAGGCAGCCTTTTCTGTACAACTGCCTCCCCTTGCTGACTCCAGGCTTTGGGCTGGTGAAGGGTCTGTGTGTGGCTAGGGCCAGATTTCTGCCTTGTTCGATTCCCCAAACCCTCTGTACATCTTTGCAAATAGCCTCTTTATTAAAATTCCCTCCAATCACTCAGTTTGAATGTGTCCTCTGCTTCTTGTTGGGACCCTTGCTGATACAGTAAGATTACTTGGAATGCCCTTCTTTATTCTCATGGCTCATCCAGGTGCTCTGCTTTTGCGACCTGGCTGAGGTTCTAGCTCGACAAAACCACAGACTGTCAGAGCTGACCGAGGCCTTAAAGATCACCCTGTCCAGCAACATACATGGCTTTTCACCTGCTTCTCTGATCACTCCTTCTTGGTCTCTTCTGGTAATTCCTCGTCTTCCACCTTAACCACTGGCAGGCTGCACGGTCCTGTCTGAGAAGCCCTTTTCTCATACTACTACATTCTCCCTGGGGGAACTCATTGCCTCCAAAGTTTTAATTATTATCCACATTCCAAAGATCCCCAAATCCATATCTTTGCTCTTCTAGACTTTGTTCCTGAGGGCTAGATCCATATATTTCCAATTGCTGAACTGACATCTCTACTGCCTCAGGCACCTCAAATGTCAGAAGTACTCTGATCATCTTTCCTTCCAAACAGCTTCT